GTGTCAGTGTATGCGTGTGTGTGTGTGTGTGTGTGTGTGTTCATGTGTAACGTTCAAACACAAAGGCTTCAAATCTACTTTCACTGTAAAAGATGCAATCTCTTATTCCCAACAACGCCCATGTTCCATTTTCCAACACTTGTTCGCTCAATAACTTCTCTCCTATTTCTTTTGTGGCAATTTTAAATAAGAATCTCAAGCCTTATATATTCTTGACCAAGATCCCAGGCAACTATTTATCTTTTGAAACAATTGTACCTAAGGGGAAATGTTGTTAGATTGACACCTTCCTCTTAGATCTATTTCTTAATGGCTCAATGCTTATCTACACAAGATAATGAGGTGCTGAGTGCTTGCAGTTTCTGCCTTGTCACTTTAAAGAGCTAATCAGTGTACACACTGCTACAGGGCTGTAGTAAAAGAATTTCTTTTGTAGCAAAGTTATGAATGAATGATGTGGGGTTGATTGGTTGAATATAGAGTGCATACCATGTAAATTGAGAAGCCATGTGTTGGAAAGGGAGTTGTGTGGCCATTGGGGGTGGTTGGAGAGCCATTGGTTAGCATGGATTGTAGACCAGGACACTATGTGGGGATAGAGGAGTAAATTCTTGCATGGAGGATATTAAAGGGTGTTGATTGTGGCTAGAAGAGCATATTTGTAATGGATGTACCTTTGGGTGGGGAATGAGATAGTATGAACTGATTTGGAAAGTGCAAGAGGGAAATTAAGAGCCGAAGGGAGTTAGAGAGGAAGGAACCAGAGGGCTTTTATTTCTGTTTTGTTGTTTTTTTTTAACAACTGCGATGATATCCCAGATCAGTGAGGTGAGCCTTTTCATCAGCCTGGCTGAGCACCTCACTGAGGCTGCCTCTGAATACTTTTTGAGGTGCCATAGGCCAAATTCCAGTTCTCATCCTTCCCTACCCACCCCCTCCAAAATTGAAATCCTGCCTTTGCACACTCTCCTTGCGGGTGGGTGTGCCAAGCTTGGAAATTTCCTGAATTCCACGACACGGCTATGGGATGACAATCCAGCCCTTGAAATTTCATGTGTTGGTGTGGGTCTGAAGCACCTTGACACTTAGCTCTGCCTTAACCTAGTTTGAAACAGGCAGAATAAATGCCTTTTGCTGTTGCATTGTAACTAGGCACTACCTGACTACAGCCTATGCTAGTAGACTTGGGATTGAAACCCAAGCATAAATATATTCACAATAATTTGTAAATATCTGGGATTTATTGTTTTTTGTAAATTGCTTGATTGTCAATTCCCTTTTTATGTTGCTTATAACTAATTCCCTCATGTGTTGAATAATTCAGATGGTGTTTTGCTGTCACTGTTTGCCACCTTTCTGCAGGAGTCTTTGAGAGTGTGAATTTGTGATTTGTGTGAACCCCTATTGAAATCTCTGTGGCTCTGTGAGCTCATACCAACCCCATGTACACCTATTAGCCTGATATTGTAACAGTTAGGATGTTCAAAGCTGCCAAAGATGAGATCAATCAATATGGAATGTAGAGCCTGAGATAAGATTGGAAGTGCTCACAGAACTTAAACCTATTACAAAATCCAATGACCTCTACCAAGATAGCTCATAGCATCTTGACAGCATTTAACAGGATCTGAGTTTGTTTCCAATGAATTTAGCAGATAAACTAGTCACTAAGGTTCTGGGAGATTTTCTTTCTTGTTGATTAAGATGTAGTCAATTCCTTTCCTTCACAATCAGTTCTTCTCTGGGCGACACTGCGCACTTGGACTGGGATCTCAGCGGGTTCACTGTAAACCCCTGGTGACAAACTGCAAAGGGTTTGACCTTTGCTCTCTTCTTGTGACCTCCCCCCTACCCCTTTGTTCGATTTGTACTTCAACTAACCAATACCTGATTAGATAATGCTTTGCGCTGGCCTTAAAAATTAGATAAAAGCTTAAATTTATGACCTGAGTCTGGAGTAGGCCAAGTGCACTCTAATCTCATTCAAGTGATTCCCTGTCGGGTCATAGTTTCCATTTTCACTTTCAAACTTCAGTCTTTCTTTTCTACTTATTTATTACTTGTCATTCCTGCCACTCACCTCAAGCAACTTTCTTTTCGGAGTTTTATTTCTAGTCCAATCAAGCAATTAAATAGTTTCAATGAGATGCAGTAATAAAGTATCCCAAGAATTGGCCATTGAAGTCTGACATGGATTTGCAAAATTATGGAACAACAGAAAAGATATACACTGTATGACTGAAATTCCCCACACCCAGGTCCATGCAATCAATTATGTACATTAGCATTGTCTCTTTGATGAGAAATATTGAGAAAAAGATAGATATGGAAAGAAAAACTCATTGAGCTTTTATTCAAAAGGCAAATGTCAGAGCTTGGTTTTTGTCTACAATTTATCTAAGTCATTTGATTTTAGATTGGACCAGACAACTAGTTTAGATTGATATGTCAAATTGTGATTACTTTTATCGTGTTTAATGTACAGAGTTAAATTCACAGAGAAATCAAACTATATACAATCCCACTGTGAATTCTGCAGCTATTTCAAACTATGGTGTGGAGGTGCTAATGTTGGACTAGGGTGGACAAGGTCAGAAGTCACATGCCACCAGGTTATAATTCAACAGGTTTATTTGAAATCACAAGCTTTCATAGCCCTGCTCCTTCATTAGTTGAAGTGATGAAGGGGCACCACTCCGAAATCTTGTAATTTAAGATAAACCCTCCTCCCTCCGGAAACAGTTCCTACTATCTCGGACTATAACCTGGTGACTTGTGACTGTTGACCTATTTCAAACTAGTCATAAAGCTAAATAGGTATCAGCAATAGACTATTGATGCACTTACCTTTGCTATTATATTGTCAACACACCATACAATGGCCTGTATCACATCATCATCATACAATAATAGAGCATTACTTTGTGAAAATAATATCATTGTGCTTTAACATGAGTACTAGTTATGTCCTCGCAATATAAACGTATCCACATTGTTTCTAGGTTGTTTTGCTGTTTGATATAGTTGCAATGACCCTTTAAAGCTTAAGAGGTTTAATCAATATGTGTTTGCCAAACAATTAATTATGTGGGTGCAAAAAGATTAGGTGATGGCAAACATATTTTAATACTTTGTCACAAGCATGTGAGATCATTGTGACAAAATGACACTTGAAGGCAAGGAGCCCAAATGTTCCTTTTAGTCTTTTTGTTGCTTTTCCAGTTCTAAATGTTTGTTTGGATGCAGTGCCCCTGTCTCAGTGACTGTTCACATTAATAGTAATCCTGGTACTGGAGATGCAACAGATTGTGTGTTTTCTACTCAAGCACTCCTGAACCTTTTACAGCTGGTCCCTACTAAAGTAGCAGAAAGAGTATCTGGTCTGTCAGAATGTAGAGTTAAAATGGAAAAATAGTTTTTTTTGGGATTTACTTTACTAAGTATTGTTCAAAATGTAATAAAGTTCCATCTTGAGTCTTCACGTTTACAAGAATTACATGAAATTAACCGCAATGAAATGTAATGCAGAAATTATAATAAATTGAAATGACAAGAAAAGCAATGCTGAATCATTATACAGTTCTGGCAACTTATTCTCTGACATGTATGGCCACACCGTGTAATCATTCCCTAGTCTGGCAGCTTCACACATGAAAGCTCACTCACTCTTGTAGATGTTACTGGGGAGGCACTGTTTCGCTGGTAGAACAATGAAAAGTTTAGATTTGTGGACAGTTAGAGAATATAATTTACTTGGTATGTTATTGCTTTGAGGGGGATGTTCAGGTGTTTTATCAAACTTCGTTAAATTACTAGCCTATGGTTTTATTTAATTTTTAAAGTATACATTTACTACAGTCTTTAAATTAATAAAGATTGTTAAAAATGAAAACCCAACTGATGTCCTTCATTGCTGAATAATATTGTTGCCAGATTCACAATAAAATGTAATGAAATTATTTTGCAGCATTATAAGACATTTACAGCCTGCAAAATAGTACCTCTCGTGTTTATGATGTATCCGTGATAATATAAACATAGCAGGATACAACTATCCAGATGAAATGGGACTTCCACATGGACTGTCCATTACAGAACATTGCATGCCAGTGAAAATCCAATAGTTTTCTAACCAGTGGATGGTTTTATAATTTATTGATCAATTGAAAATCAAATTCATCTCAAAAGCTTTATCTGTTTTAAAACAAACTTCCAAATTCATTCTTTTTAGAATTAATGCCAAATAAAAGTGAGAATTATTTTTGCTACTTTGACAATGCTGGTAATGACAAGAGAAGATTACTACTCCTCCACAACAAACCACACTTGAGTAATTATCAGGCTGCATTGATCAGTGTGCATGTTGCCATTCGGCAACAGTTCTGTTTCTTAACAGATAATGCTCATTTTTGATAAATGTGTTTAATACAAGCAAGAAAACTTATCAAGGAGGCAACACTTTGAAACGAATCGTGTTGCAGCAGATTGAGTGAGGTACCACTTCACTGTTACAGTGAACAAGATTTTGTGAAAGCAGTTTTCGCAGTACACTTGTTCCAAAAACAATTTCTACCAGGAAGCTCCCACTAAGGGTGGTAATAAGTATCATTTGCACTATCATGCATTCAGGTAAATACTTCACTAGCTACCTGGGCAGAAACCTGACATTGTAAATGAGATGCTCACAATGGAAATGTCCTGACTTCATTTCCACTGATTTTAATAGAAGCTCAATTGGAAACTTGTGATAAGGGGTTCATGATGTTTTGCAACATTAATCCTGCATCAGGTAGCTGAACTGAAAATTTACCCGAGTACATGGAAAGTCAGATGACTATTCACCGTGAACACATCAACTATACGTTACACTTGAGCAGCAATGGGGCATGACTTCTCAGCACATTAAGCAAATAAACACATTAAAAAAAACTAGACACACAATGGTTTTAAAAAAATACTGCTGAGTGTCAAAATACAAATCAGAAACATTTTGCACATACCACAAGCCACTCCAAACATGTATAGGCATCTGAAACACAGAGAAATTAAAATACGTGCTTACTTCCCAGCCATGAGAAGGATCCTTCAAGTTCGATAGCTCTTCCCCAACATAAGGGCCAAGTTTTTCACCGGCTTCCAGCTTTCTCTTAGTCCATATTCCTAACCCAGCACCTGGAATGCTTGACTCACGGAGTTCAAATTCTGGTGGGATGGGAATATCGTCAGGAATGTAGATGGGAGCTTTGTAGGGAGAGCCCTCCTTAGGTGTAAAATCTTCATTAGATGTGGCAGGTGAGGAAAGATCATGTGCACTGAGGGACAGAGGCCCTGTCTCATCATCAGCATTAGGCTCCTCTACTGGTAGAATAGCAGAATACCCATCATACAGGCTGTCATCACCTAATTAGAGAGATAAAGCAGAAATGAACGAGTTGGGGATTGCAAACCAAAAGATCACAGTAAAAATTATGATTGATATTTCACAGAATCTGGAGTGAAGTAAGGATATTGCAGTCGATTTAGAGAGTCATGGTAATCTCAAGCAACATTAGGGAATTGAGGTCACTGAATATCAATAGAAACATGGGACTGAAGTGAAAAATTGGGGTCATTCAGGGTAGCAGAGGAAACCTGGGAAAAGGGGAGAGAATTAAAATTACTCTGGGTGTCAACAGACATCGACAGTGGAACATGAATGAGTCACTGTGGGAATTTAAACTGGGAGAAATGTAGGAGGGAACCTGATGTGAAATTGACCAAATTTACCAGTACCAGCAGAAAAAGGAAAAGTCTGGTCTGTCATGTTTCAGATTCATTACTGAAAAAATCATCCATAAATTATTAATGGATGCCACAGTATAACATTCTAAGCTTTAATATATATATATTATAGAAGCATATATTATTTATCGCAATATATGTGAGTTCCATAGTGACATTGTAAACTTTATGTTGACAGCATCTTACATTAACTGACTGAATAAAGAGCTCAAATATTTTCTCCTTAATTTTTAAGCATTTTTTCAGCTGTCTAATCTCAGAAAGTGTTTGTTAAAGCATTCAAAATCACACCTTGAACAAACTGTCTGAGGTGGTCATTCTCTTGATTTCACTGTCCCTTCATTGTAAAAAATAAACCAACTCCCAAAGTATCATTTTGCAGACACACACAGTTTCACACAGTACTGGATTCATATGATATTATATTGTTTAGTATTATTAAAAATCATTGAGGCCCTTTTGAAATCCTATACAAATTAAAATGTACAATCTAATGCAATGCCTAATGATCACTTAGCACAAGGTGGTTTTGTTTCTTTAAGTGGCAGTTTCTTTGCAAGTTGTGTGGCTAAAAATGCCACAGCCAACCCTCTTACATATTCCACCTAATTTCAACTCTGTGCACAGAAGATATAAATCTTTTCTACTAGACACCCCATTGGTTTGGTTTCTGACACTGAAGATATAGAAATCAGTGTAAGTCATCATCGCTGTCACAGTGTCATCAATGGCCCTGTGACCTACAAGTGTTATCAGCTGCTGCTCCCAATGTATAATTTAAAGGTCTAAATTCACAATTCTATTCTCAGGGTGAAAGTCATCCAAACCCCTTCTTCCTGTTATGAGACAATACAGCTAAGTTTCATTTATCTGAACATTTCTCTGAAACTCTTCTTTCAAATACTTGGACAGGGAACTATTTTAACTGTGTGCTGATTGTAACACAATTAAAAGCTCATTCATCAGGAATGGTTTTACGTTGTCATTATACTTAATGTAAAAGAACCATCCCCTTATGTCAAGTTTCAAGACTATTCAAAGACAAAACTTAAAGCTCCAATTTACCACAATATTTCTTGTTACCCATTGCTTCACACTTATACCTCTCTGATTTATAGATTATTCCCCTTTTTTTGCTTCAGTTTGATGCTCCTTGATCAATGCTGGTTTACTGCTATGACACCAATCAAGATGATGAAGTGATCAATACAACAAGCCACGTCTTCATCACTGCCTCCCATTCTGCAAAGCAAGACTGTTCTTTTCAGTATTCCTTCATCACTTCACTCCATCACTGTAATCACAGACTCCGTTTCGAAAGAATGCTCAAACCAGCAGTTTGCTGAAGAGATAGTAGGAACTGCAGATGCTGGAGAATCCGAGACAACAAGGTGTAGAGCTGGATGAACACAGCAGGCCAAGCAGCATCAGAGGAGCAGGAAAGCTGACGTTTTGGGCCTAGACCCTTCTTCAGAAATGGGGGAGGGGAAGGGGGTTCTGAAATAAATAGGAAGAGAGGGGGAGGCGGATAGAAGATGGATAGAGGAGAAGATAGGTGGAGAGGAGACAGACTGGTCAAAGAGGCGGGGATGGAGCCAGTAAAGGTGAGTGCAGGTGGGGAGTTAAGGAGGGGATAGGTCAGTCCAGGGAGGATGGACAGGTCAAGGGTGTGGGAAGAGGTTAGTAAGTAGGAGATGGGGGTGGGGCTTGAGGTGGGAGGAGGTGATAGGTGGGAGGAAGGACAGGTTAGGGAGGCGGGGACAAGCTGGGCTAGTTTTGGGATGCGGTTGGGGGAGGGGAGATTTTGAAGCTTGTGAAGTCCACATTGATACCATTGCGCTGCAGGGTGGCCTCCTCTACATCGGGGAAACCAAGTGGAGGCTTGGGGACTGTTTTGCAGAACACCTACGCTCGGTTCACACGAAACAACTGTACCTCCCAGTCGCGAACAATTTCAACTCCCCCTCCCATTCCTCAGATGACATGTCCATCCTGGGCCTCCTGCAGTACCACAACGATGCCACCCGAAGGTTGCAGGAACAGCACCTCATATTCCGCTTGGGGACCCTGCAGCCCAATGGTATCAATGTGGATTTCACAAGCTTCAAAATCTCCCCTCCCCCTACCGCATCCCAAAACCAGCCCAGCCTGTCCCTGCCTCCCTAACCTGTCCTTCCTCCCACCTATCCCCTCCTCCCACCTCAAGCCCCACCCCCATCTCCTACCTACTAACCTCTTCCCACACCCTTGACCTGTCCATCCTCCCTGGACTGACCTATCTCCTCCCTACCTCCCCACCCACACTCACCTTTACTGGCTCCATCCCCGCCTCTTTGACCTGTCTGTCTCCTCTCCACCTATCTTCTCCTCTATCCATCTTCTATCGGCCTCCCCCTCTCTCCCTATTTATTTCAGAACCCCCTTCCCCTCCCCCATTTCTGAAGAAGGGTCTAGGCCCAAAACGTCAGCCTTCCTGCTCCTCTGAAGCTGCTTGGCCTGCTGTGTTCATCCAGCTCTACACCTTGTTATCTCAGTTTGCTGAAGAAGCAGTTTGTCTTGTTTAGAATGAATAGATCTAGAAGTCGATCCTTTTCTGCTGAGCCCAACTCTGTTTCATTAGCAGAAACAGAAATTGCTGGAAAAACTCAGCAGATCAGGCAGAATTTGTGGGAAGAAAGCAGAGATAAAGTCTTAGGTCCAGTGACTCTTCTTCAGAATGTAGACTCTGCCTTCTCTCCACAAATGCTGCCTGATCTGCTGAGTTCTTCCAACAATTTCTGTTTTTGCCAGTAGCACTTGGCAATAACTCTGGAGAGAAAGCAGCGATAAAGTCTCAGGTCCAGTTACCGTTCTTCAGAGTTTAGACTCTGCTTTCTCTCCAAAGATGTTGCCAGAACTACTGAGTTTTTCAGCAATTTCTATTGTTGCTTTAGATTTCCAGCATCTGCAATTCTTTTATTTTTCTGTGTCACTAACCTTGATAACTGGCTCCCAACAACTCTGTAAACACACACATTCAACCACTTGGACATTAGCCTTTCATGCCAGTTTGTAACAGAAGGGGTTAAATACCAGTTGTGGTTTATTTAATCCCACCACTGTGAAGTAATATTCAGCACAAATACTTTTACAAGATATCAATTCATTTTTGTTTATTTGTATATTTTCCTTAAATACTTTTAGTAAGATTACCACCAATAAAAAACGATTTATTTTAGGAGGTCTAGAATTGGTAATTATGAGGACTCAAAATATTTGGCAAACTCCTGTTTCGATTGAGAAACACTAAGGGCATGTTATTGTATACAGGTATGACATGTTTCAATACAAGTTATATTGTTGAATCATGTGGTTATAAGCAAGCTAACAAAAATCTTCAAACATTTTTTCAAGAACACATGCCAGTACCACTGAGTTAGCAGCGCAAAAGTAGTGGAAACCCAAAACCTGGTGACTGCTTTACAACGTTGAAGGTTAGGAGTTGATTTTTCAATTTGATCCTTCCGGTGGGAAACGCTCCTACCAGGAGCATATAACAGAAATTCAGGGGGTGCAATGTGTGTGATTTATCATGTCAATTATGATTGGAATTTTGTAACTAGTTCATGTCCAGTTACCAAAAGTGCAGTCTTGTCTTATGACTCCCCTTTTAAAAGTTCCATGGATTACATTATCAACGCGTACAATTAATATCTTCCAATTCATGGTGCAGTGAATTTAGCTTCTGATTTTTTTTTTTGTTTTCCTTTTGCACCCTTCCGTTCCTGAATATAGTGACTGATGTAGGATCATGATTTTGAATGTTGGTTATTTCAGGAAATCTGCAAGTTAAGTACATGTATGAATTTCCAGAGATACTGGACCAACAGCTCTACAAATAAATTTTTTTCAAATCCAGCAATTGTTCTCCGATCACTTATAGAGGTTGAAACCCACCTCCCTATTTTCTGCATATAAACTGACATTTTCCCAGCCACCATCAGTTCTGAGGAAGGGTCACCGGACCCGAAACGTTAACTCTGTTTTCTCCTTCACAGATGCTGCCAGACCTGCTGAGCTTTTCCAGCAACTTTGTTTTTGATCTTGATTTACAGCATCTGCAGTTCTTTTGGTTTTCACTTATAGAGGTTTTCTGTTAAAGCTACAACCCTGACCCTTTTTCTTCAGCATTTATACCTTCGTTTCCTGACTACAATCAGTTCTGAAAAAAGGTCATTGGACCCAAAATGTTAACTCTGCTTTCCACAGATGCTGCCGGACCTACTGAATTTTCCCAGCAATTTCTGTTTTTGTTTCAGATTTCCAGCATCTGCAGTTCTTTGTTTTATTATGTTGTTCAGTTGGTTATTCTTTCCATGTGAGATTCAATTGTGAGTTTCACTTGGGTATTTGACCATGATGTGTGTCACAGATAAGCCTGATCCTGTCTTCTCCTGTTATTCACATATACACATTTTCTCTAGCAGCAGTTCCTGATACCAACAATGCTAGCTATTTTAACACCTCCTCAAAAGCATGCTGATGTCAGTCATACTGCAGTCACCTGAGCTAAGATCAAGCAGCAATTAGATCAGAAAACATCATTTGAAGCTTAAGGGAGTGTGTGGCACAGTCCCATG